TCTTTCTTTTTCCTTCAATCATCTCTTACTTTCTTTCCTCTTCTCTCTTCTTTCTCCCTCTCTTGCGACCTCCTCTTTTTAAATTTCTTTGTCTAGTTTAAGTCGTAAGATTTAAAAATTTTAAATCGCAAACCCATCAAGTTTTTGAGTCTTAAAGAATATCGTTTTCAATAAATGTTCTTAAGAAATGTTTTGAGAAATGATAAAAAATTTCAAATAAAATACCAAACAAGCCCTAAGAAATCACCAAAATCTCTAAAACCCACATAGAAATACCGTGTATTTCCCAGACCCAAGTAACAAAAACAATAAAAAAACCCTAAAAAATATAAAAAGGCCAAAACTCTCTCTTGAATTCCATATTTTCTCACCAACCAAACACACCCCAGAACAGAACCAAAAAAAAAAAAAAAAACATAAAAGGAGCGGGAGCTGCGGTTGAAGCAATAACCATGGCCGTGTCCGCCAGAGGGAGTCGGTGGACTCTTTATCAGTTTTTGTTCGGGCTATGGGTTTAGCTTTTGGGTGGGATGGTGAAGGTGAAAGCCCAAGGGAGAGGGCGCGAAGTCGTGAAGGAGAAGGGAGATGGCGACGGTGCGAAGGAGAAGATGATGGTTGGATCAACTGCGAGAGAAGACGGAACTAGGAGTCTGCTCGAAATCGAGGGTTCTCGCTAAGAACAGCTAGCGAGGCGTTCAATCGGGGCGAGTCCCCTTTAGTCTCATTAATTCTTGTCCGTGTAAATAACAAACACCAGACTGGACTATCATTTAGTCTAGTCCAGTCCAAGAAATGCAAATAAAGGCAAACAAACATACCTTAGGGTTTTCTTTGATTGTCTCACTGATCTTGCCTACTTTTGGCTTGCTTTTCTTTTTGTCTCAAAGCTTGCTCTTTCGCCGCTTCTGATTTTCCCATCTTTCTTTGCCCAAGTGAATTAGCCAGTGTGTTTTTTTTAGTTGGAAAGGATTGGATACCTATAAATTTCATTTTTGGGTCGCGGTTTCTAACGTTTGCTGGAAAAAAAGGTCGAAATCGTTGTTGTGCGATAGGGTTATCGCAAAAGCAGAGGTTCTTCTTTGACTCATCAAAGAGGGAGTGTTCTATATCACCTTTGTTGCAACTTTGTTGTCGTTGTGCCCCTTTGTGAGACTTTGTTTTGTAGTTTTTTGTTTGAGTAAATTGTAGCAATGGTCTTTCAACTTTAATCAAATTGAAGCAATGGTTCCTCAACTAAAAATTCATTACCATTAGTCCCTCAACTTATCAAAATGTGTAGCTATAATTATTTTTATTAATTTCATCAAAATTTTGTCAAAATAAGTTAAGTTGGGATAACCATTTATATAATAAGGGTCCCTTAATTCATCAAAGTGTGTAATTATGGTCATTTTTGTTAACTACGTCAAAAATTTTGTCAAAACGAGTTATGTTGGAATGATCATTGCTACAATTGGGTTAATGTTAAGGGATTATTTCTCCAGTTGAATTAAAGTTGAGGGACCAATGGTAATGAATTTTTAGTTGAGGGACCGTAGCTGCACGTTTTGAGGAGTTGAGGGACCAATAATAATGAATTTTTAGTTGAAAAACCATTGCTCCAATTGAGTTAAAATTAAGGACCATATCTTCAATTTACTCTTTGTTTCTCTGTGCAGCTTTTGTAAAATTGAAGTGGGAGTTTTACGGATCTTGATCAAGCCCGTAGTTTATTAACGAAGAGAACAACGCCAACCCAAAATTCAAAGAAAAATTTAAACGCAGAAAAGTATGGGTTCCTGGTGAGTTTTACTGCCGAACTGGGCGGGTAATTTTGTGATTAGCAATTGATTTTAGGGAATTTTAACGAAAAGCTCACGGTACTATTCACTGTAACGAAAAATCATATTTTTACACTAAAAAGTCAAACCTGTTACTATTCACTTTACTTCTTTATTTTATCCTTATCATTAAAACTTAAAATTTTCAAGTCATTTTCATTAGTTTTCCTTGGATTTTATGAATTGATTGATGGGCTTGGTTTCTGAATTCTCTTTTCTTTATTGAATTTTCAAGATAGAGGTTGTATTTGTATGTTACATAGCAAAGACTGTGGGTCAATTCGTGGTTGTATTTGTATGTTTTAGACATAAAAATTGAATGTATCAGTTTTAAATCTTTCAATCATGTTATTCAACTAATGCTATAAACTGTCGTATTTTATAAACTCTGTGGAAATGAATTTACATGCAACCCAATGGTCCAAAATTTATATCTTTCATTATGACAATTAGCCGTAAGCACCCATATTCATTTTGAACTTTGATCCTTTAGGTCAAATTTTGAACCTTTAATTATTGACATTGCTTAATTTAGTTGTAATTTAAAGTTTTGATTTTTTTCAATTTTTGTTATTTTCTTTACCGAAGAGCTTTGATCTTCCACAGGACTACTTTGCATGGCTTCCGAAAGATCTCTGTGAGTATGGTTTTTTAAATCTGTGTATTGCCACTGTTCACTGCCCTTCTCACTTTATATATAGATAGGTTTTTTTACATAAGTTGCCGACGAGGCCAATGATTAATGGTTCATTTTTCGATAATGTTAGGAAAACTAAATTTTTGAAATCAAATTACAAATTAAATGATATGTCACTAATAAGAAACAAATACGTTAATCGACACTTAATTAATAATTCATTCATCTACAATCACATCATTTAGTTTACAAATTTGATTTAAAAAATTTGATCTCCCTAACATAACCCTCTTTTTTTTTTTTCCTTCAAATTCAAGGAAAGCCGTACTTGGGATGGGTAAAAACCTTCTCATTTTTCCTTGGTTTTCTAATTCTAATCGGGATTATGGTGAGCTTTTCTTTCAATTGCCTAATCGCTTTTTCTACCTTCTCATTTTCCTTGGTTTTCTAATTTTAATCAGGATTATGATGAGCTTTCTTTCAATCACTTTTCTAAACGTTTGCGATTTTCTTCTTTGAAGGGAAGAAGAAACATCTATCACTTTTTCACACTGTTCAAATCTCTCCCAAAGTTTATTTAAATCAGGTAAATATAATAAACATATAGGAGCAGGAAGAGAAAGTAGGAATCTCCCTAATCTTCATGTCTACTTCAAAGCAAAGTACTATGTGATCAACGATCTTTGTGCTGAGGCACCTTTGCTGAAGTACAAGAATTTTTTTTCAACCAGGAAGCCAATCACAACGTAACATGTTTCAACATTAGAATAAAGCTCCTAAAATCTCATATCGACTGCGGATGAAAGCGTACGACTCTCCTCAACTATAAAAGGAGACCATTATTCTACAATTAATCCCTAATGCCATTATTGTACTTAAATTTGTCGTTAGAACTTACTAATAATGATTATGCTTAAACCTATGTATAATGTAAACTCTTCACTATTAATGAGAATTCCTCTACTCTATGGACGTAGCCCAACTTAGGATGAACTGCGTACATTTTGTGTTTGCTTCCCAATCTCTAACTGTTTATACATTACCTTTATCAGGTGATTAGAGCAACCTTACGAATGTCACAAACTTGACAATTTATGTTGTTTTAAAGTCTAGCCGATTTTGTGCATCAACAATACACATATACATGAATACGCACACTAGCTTAAGCCCACACACTATGTATGAAGCAGGTTTTTTGCTTTTTTATTTTTCTGAAAAATTATATGGAAGGGAGAAACTAGCGAGAAATGTCAAAAAGAGAGGGATTAAGAGAGAGAATATGGGAACGGAGAAAGATTTACATTTATATTTTTCTATTTTTAAATTAGAAATATGCTATGATATCATGTGGTAGAAAATAGTTAATTCGATTCCTAAAGAAACGTTGAAATCGAAATCTTCAAGAGTTTGAATCACCATCAAGACTTTTTCTGTTAATGGTAACGAAATCTTCAAATGACATCACTGATTTCAATTGCCTCGTTTCTCCAAGTTGTAGACAAGAAAACAGAACAAGAACAACACAAGAGTTGAGAACAAAGTCCTATAACAGAACCTCATTTAGGGTTCGTCTGGTAACGTTTTACAGACGGATTATCGGGAAAATTGTTTTGGAAAGTAAAAATGAGTTTTCACAGAAGTTTGTGAAAAATAAGGAAATGGACTCTGAGGTGAAGTGTGGGGGAGGTGGAGAGCTGTTTATTCAAAGCTTTCTATAAATTTCAAATCTCATGCCCTTGACTAGTGTCTAAGCTGTGATATTTCTTCTGAGCTAACCGACTTGGGCGTAATGGTTTGGAGGTTCAACCATGGCACGGCAGTCCATTTGGAATGAATCAATACACGCTAACTTGGGCGCCAAACAGAGTTACATACTGTGTACTTTGAGTGCAAAGCAATTGTTTAAGGTTCATAGTAGTCTACAAGAAAGACGTGAAACGTGCTGAGTATTATACTTAGACAAGAACATATCATATAACAGTCGTGACGTGCAAGAATCCGCCTTGAGTTACAAGGCATATAGAACAGAAGAGTTAAAAAGTAAATTTTTTTATGGTTGATGCAAGCCCTGAGGAAAGCATAATGCAAAGAGTCAAATTCAACAATATTTTTAACACAGTTGGCGAATGTGTGTCGCACATGAGCTGGTTTTAATAGACCGAAAACAAATTCCCTTTTTCTTGATTTTGATTGAGTCCTTTATGAGTCTTGACTTGCAGAGAAGCCATGACCAAAGGTTCCCGGCCTCCCCAATAACAAAGAGTACATATTTATCGGTCAAACTCAACTCCGTTTAAAAACTGGAGTTTGAATAGCAAATCGGATGACGAGAGAAAAACTTAGGATCACGTGACTAAGTCACGCGTACGAATCTCCCCTTAATAGAGAGCTGCCTAGGGGCCAATTCATCTAAACATGCATGCATAAACTGTAAAACAACAACTCAGAAGCCTTCCAAAGAAAACCGAGTAGTGAGATAAACTCATAACATAGGTCCAGTGGATCTTCCGAACATGTTCAAAATTAACATGAGATCCCTTGCATATATTAACGAAACAACTTCATTCAATAACCAGAATCTGAAGTTATATAACAAATCATTAATGCGACATAATCAGTTAGTCGATAAGAAAACCCACGTTTTTATCAGGCAGATGCACACAGATACAAGTAATAACTTACAAGAGCAACTTAACAGTCGGATCATTTTGAAAGAAAGGCCACCAGCTTCTCCTTTAACTTCTCAGCATCACCACCTTGAGTTTGAATGGAGAATGTATGAATAACCTTATCGTTGTCTGTTATGGAAACATTAGACTCTTGAGGTACAATTTTATGTTCCCTTAGTGTTCGGATGACATCAGAAACCGGGTGAGAATCCAATGGGAAGTTCATCCTGACAACTGCATCCTCGTGGCGTTCCTGAAAATCAATCTCTGGAACCGGCAACTGCTTTCCCTTGTTGTTAACCATCTGCTTTTCAGCTTCAATGATTCTGATCTTCATCTGGAGATCGGTGATATGGGTAATGGCATCACCAAGAAGAGAGGCTTTATCCATCTTCGATATGTTAGGAACAACAGCTCTTAGTGCATAGAACCTCTGGTTAAGCTTCTCGCGCCTCTGCCGCTCTGCTTCCACGTGATTCAATGGTTCTTCTCTCCCATTGGAAGGCTTTCTCCCTCTCTTTCTGGGTTTTTGCTCATCCACTTGTGTCGATGACTCATCCTTAAGCAGCTCTGAACCTGAAACCCTTGTCTGGGTATTGAATCCGTCAACCATCATCTGGTTCATTTGAGGAAACAGTTTTACTTCACCACCCTCACTTGGAAATCCATTTGAAGTACCTACTGATTGTAATTCCAACGACTCTGGAGGAAATGCAAAATCTTCTTCTATTTTCGGGGTAAAGGAAATGTTAACGGATTGTGATTTTGGACCCCCGAGACTTAGTTCACGTCCAAATATCATTGGAAATGCCTTTGGCTGAATAGGACTAGATTCCCCAAACGCACTTCTAACTATATCCACATAACTTTGTTCTTCCGGAGTTGATTTGACCGAACCAAGTTCCACAACTCCTGATTTCATTGGTACAAACACCACAGTCTGAAACCCAGCCAATCTTGCTAAAAATGATCTCGACTGGTAATGATGTAAACAACTACCTGCATCTGAAACCCAAATTGATTTTCTGGAGTTATACGCCTCTGCAGGACCACAGTGTGAAATCGAATCAAGTTGAAATGCATAACACATTGAAGTGTGATAAAACATCTCCACATCTGACACACCATCCAACCTCCTTGCATAATTATCCGCATTCAAACCGCCAAAACATGCATGGAGCTTCTGAACCACCCGCTTCTTCACCTCTTCTTTATTCTGCACTGCCTCCAAACTACTATCCCGACTAGAATTCGCGTCCCCAGCTCCACCATCCTTGGTATCCCTGCAATGCCCATCACCCCAACACAAGGCAGATCCACCAGATTTCGAGCCAACAGCCTGCCAGAAAATGGCATAATTCCAATTCGACCCGTTGACAAGCTGACACAGCCCCTGCTGCACACCCAATTTACCCGACGGCCTAATCAAATCTGACAAAACATTTTCGGAAGCCAGTGAGATCAAGAACCGGCACGCTTCGGTACCTAGTACCGACTCAACCATGACCTTGTCTTCTTCATTCACCCAAAATTTCTCACCCATCTTAACCTCTCTTCCCCTTCCACAACTCTCTCAAACAACACAAAACTGCTAAAACTAGAGAAATTCACGATACAGCTCTCAAATTTCTTACTCCCACTACAGAAATTCGCAATCTTTTCGCAAAACTTGACGACCGGATCACAATTAAAGTTCCAAACTTTGAACACATCTCAGGGAATCATTTCTACACAAATATAACATCTTTGATAAAATATGTCCAACTAAAATTACCCACTTCCTAAAAATGTTTTTAAACCCAAAAACAACGATGAAACTCGAACAAGTTGAGAAATTTAGACTTACCCAATTGGCAGATCCTGAGGATACTTCATATTCATACACAAAGACCATGAATTTACTGCTTAATTAAAGCTGATGGAGTTTTAGGAAGCACAAAATCGGCTCACAAAAAAGTCCAAAATCCAGGCAGAGACTTGATGAAACTTGAATGAAGCCTTCAATGCGAACAGATAAAGGTTTGATACAAAGTCATGGCAATTACAGAAACGGAAACCTAGCAAGCTCAGCAAACGGAAACGTGACGGAGGTAAGGATAATGGGCCTTGTACACCCAATGGGCCGACCCAAATAGCCTCCAAGCCCATCGACAAACTATAGTGTAGGACCCGTTAAAAAGTTAGTGGTGATTGATGAAGTTTTTCCATTTTTTTTTTTTTTTTAGTCTTTGTATTTATTTATTTACTCAGAGTTTTTGTCTTTGTATTGAGTAAAGCAAAGATAATTAAAGGATAAAAAATGCAAAACAAAATGGGTATGAAATTCGGACTAAGATTCTCTCTTCTTCTTTTTCCATCCCCTTTCATCTCATCATCTCATATTATCTTACTTTGTCTTTCTTTTACTATAAAAAATTAATAAAATATGTTAACGTAATTTAACCATGACCGTTCAAATAGAATGAGAGAAAAAAAAAAGAAAAAAAAATAGAAGAGAAAATCCTACTCCATGAACTTCACCATCCATCAGAAATAAAGTACAAGTTAAACATAAAAGAATACATAAATATGTCACTCCACGGTGAAAAACTTAAGTTTGACGTCACAACTAAGGAAGACCTGATGGGTGAAAGAAGGAAAACAGAAAGAGAAGGCACGCACAAACTGACGACAACAATTAACTGTCAGTTTGGGAATTCATTTTCTTTTAAATGTAAAATTTAATTGCAGATCTTAAATCGTTAAATTATTATAATAGTTAAGAAGTAGCGAAATGAGTAAATGCACTAGAAATTTTTCATTATGATCGGAATATGGATGATATATTATGTGTTATTATATAAGTGGTAGGAGATTTTATCTTTTAAATTATTAATTCTTTAACACACATATCTCATCATTTGTATAATAACACGTGATGTACTAGTTCACACTGAAAAACTTTTGTAAATGCACAAAATGTAAATGTAAAGACTCGGAATCCAATAAAATATATGCATACTACCAAAATATACATACACGGCCAAGAATAAAAATATATAAATGATAAACCTGTGCATGAACCATGTCTGTCTGCTTACAACTATATATATATATATATATATATATATATATATATATATATATATATTATACATATATTATATATATATTTTATATATTTATATATATATATGTAGTTACATTGCTTTCTTGTGATTTTCTTAGGGCAGGTGCTTGAGATGATCTATGATGAGCTTTACTCGTTGATTATAATCAGTTGCAATTGCCGCCTCCCTGCCTAGGCTTGCATGGATTGGGGCCGGGGGTTGGCACCGACTCTCTAGCTTGTGGTAGAAACGCCGTCTTTGGACCGAAAGTCTTGGGCTTCATCATGCCGCCCGGGGGTCGAGCAGCAGCTGCAACATGATCAGACGGAAATTTTTCTGTGAAAATGATCAAGAGAATCAGCATCATGACTAGCTTCATAGCGTGCATGGTTTATATGGTGACTGAAAAATGTTGTCGAATTACCGCTTTCTCAATATGGAAATATGGAAGATAAGATGTGTGGGATAAGCTTAATTTATACAGAGATTGTGTGCGAGCTAAGAAATACGGTATTGGAACACAAATTTCCCAGGAATATCAGCTGCGAAACTCGTAGGAAAAGGGGGGCTGAGCTGCATGAAAATTAATTACAAAAGAACGGTACTACATATATTACTACTTTCTAGGATTAAGTATCTAATTATGGTGATGGATATGTGCTTAAACTTGATCTAAAGTGCTTGCTAGATAGAGTTTTCTTTTACACTTTCGACCTTGGAGAGTAAACTAAGGGTTGGTTTGGTATTGTTGTGCTTTGAAAAAAAACTGCTTCTGCTGTGCTGTGAGAATAAGTAGCTATGAAATAAAGCAGCAAAGTGTTTGGTAAACTTTTTTTGTAAAAGTGCTTCTGAAAAAAAAAAAAACAGTATTATAGTGTTTGGTAGACTTTTATGTAAAACAAATGTGAAAAAAAAGCCGGTTTTTCAAAGTTGGGTTTTGTAGCTTCTTGTTTTGGCTTTTTTTCATCCAAAACTGTGAAAAAAAAACTGAAGCTGAATGTTTACCAAACACAAAAACAGCTCCCAGCTTTTTTTGATACCAGCTTTTTTTAAAATCACCTTAGTACCAAACCAGGCCTAAGGCAACTCAACCGCATGCACTTTTTACAAACGACAACGTTAATAAATTGAATTGTTAATTGTTAATGAAGAGAGGAATCAATAGAGATCAAATATGCATCAAGATGCATACTCATGATAGGCTCTTGTCCACCATCCGACTTAGTGCCTTTAGAACCTTAGTATTATCTAATTTAGTAAACTTCTAAATTTATGCAGGGTAATTAATGGTGTTCATCTAGGATTTTTATGTGGAAGCTCAACAATGTTTTCCATTGATAGGGACATTAGATTAGTTAATCGTAATCATGCAATTTAGTAAACTACATTTTAATTAAGTAGTGGCAAGTCAGGGAAAATCACTTAACGTACGACAGCAGTGGATCCACCTTCTCTGCATTAAAATTACAAAAGTGCGTACGTGCTAATTACGTTTTGTTTTAGGAATTTACTCTTTCAAATACAGTTTAAGGTAAAGCTAACATGCTTAACGACAAAGCTAATTTGTATATCGTATCTAAGATTCTAACGGGAGTTTCTTCATATTGCACATGTTTTGACTTTAGTATTATATAATTTAGTAAACTTCTAAATTTATGCAGCGTAATTAGGATTTTTATGTGGAAGCTCAACATTGTCTTCCATTGACAGGGACATTAGATTAGTTAATCGTAATCATGCAATTAAGTAAACTACATTTTAATTAAGTAGTGGCAAGTCAGGGAAAATCACTTAACGTATGACAGCAGTGGATCCACCTTCTCTGCATTATAATTACAAAAGTGCGTACGTGCTAATTACGTTTTGTTTTGGGAATTTACTCTTTCAAATGGGAGTTTCTTCATATTTCACTTGTTTTGACTTTGGTAATGTCGTATTTATTAAGCGCAGGGTTCAACTTGTTGCTTTATTACACACTTTTGAGAGGTATGATTTGTGCACATTTTTTAAATTTATCTTTTTACACACTTTTGTTTGTTTATGTTTCTTGATTTACCTAATTCAAAAATAAAAAACGAACAAAGATGTATATTGGAGAGAAGATGAATGTGCGGAAGTTATTTCCATTCTTTTGCAATCTAAACTAGCTATTAATAAAATCCTATTTGTTAATTAAAAGAGAATAAAAAGATAATTTATTCTGTATCAAAAAATAAAAACTATGGACAGTAATTTAATTTTGCGCAAAATTAATTTTGGCTGTTTTTTCTTCCTTGAACCATATATCATCATAACATAATCTATTAGTCTTTCTGCATGCAGAGTGCTAAAGGCCTTTATTTGAAAATGCACTACGCTCGACTTAGAAATCCTTAATAGATTTATCTGTGCAGACTGTTTCACCTATTTTTTATTTTGTTGAGTTTAGATTGTGTAAGAGGTTTTACGTGTTGCAATAGAATAACATATTAGTAAAGAAATCAAAGGCAACTGAAACAAAAGTTCACCACATTCCCGATCGGTACCACTCTCCTGGAATATGCAGGGAAAAAGTGGAAGGTCTTTAGATTGATCACGGCCTCCAACTTTTTCCTAGGACTTTCAACCTCCGTCGTTTTCAATCTATATACATATATCATCACAACATAAGGAGCAAACCGCACTTTATCACAGTGACATAATATAATTATGTTTCTGCATAAGGTCGTTGACATTTTGAGGGTGTGTGAATTTAATAAAACGTCCTTCCTTATTTAAGAAATAATAAATTTTTAAATAATATATTAATACAAAATTCAACAATCAACATCCAAACTTAATTTAAATTAGCATCTCATTCTTATTAACTAAATAATTTCCAATTGCCATGAAATTATAATTTAGAGTTCATCCATGAAAAAAAAAAAAAAAAAAAAAAAAGCACGACTAAAAGAGAGATACATAAATACTCTTGTATTTGTAGAAGAAATTAATGCAAAAGTTAGTTTTTTATTGCTAAAGAAAAGTAAAGATAGTAATACACAACTATCTTTATTACTAGAGAAAAGTGAAAAATTAATATATTAAGTATAGGCTCCACTTAATCAGTTGTAACATAGATAAAATCATATGATGATAATTTTTCTCAAAAACTTTTTTATTAGAAAATTTATACTTACATGTAAAATATAGGAGGATGAAAAACTTTTGGGGCTCTGTGCTACTATATATTTTGCCCAACTGCAACGCCGCCTCAGCTAGCATCTAGGCGTACCTAGGCAAGGGGCTAAGCAATTTTTGTTAATTCTAATTCAATTTGTTATGTAATATATAAATAAATGTCTACTTAAATTTAAAAAAAAAACATAATTATATTGGACTACATAAATTGCAAAATAGAATGAAATATAGATTATAAAGTATTAGAACATATTGAAAATATGGAGAACAAGCATATAATGAATGTTCATCCTAGTATCTGATAAGTTTTTTACAATTTATTAAAAAGTAAAATAGAAAATAAAAGTTATCTAATTTCTCTCTAAGTCAATGTCGTAACCAAGGCGGGTTAGACAGGCGCCTAGGCAAGTCTATGCACATTTTCTTAATTTTCAAAGGCCTTGGGATTAATAGGGACATTCTCTGTGGTAGCAAGTTTGTGATGTCTTTAGTCTTTGACGAAAATGTACTTATAAAACAATCAACACCCTTGATCAAATATCAAAGCCTCACGTTCCCAGGAGAATTTGGGGGGAAATTTGGCCAATTAATCTCCGATGCCTAAGTCAATAACTCTGAATAAAGTGAGTGTGTTAGGGTTTTCTGTATCGTGAAAAGCTTACCAAAATTTGGAGGTAATGTGAGTATTTATAGGAAGTAGTGGCCTGGTATGGTGTAGAGCTTAACCTACACATGACGGTCTCGTATTGGCCAAGTTATGTCATCCGTAAGATGTGCAAGGAAATGATA